TTCCTCGGAGCTTAGATTGATATTGTATCCCGTGACAGGGAGTGCCCTAAGCTGGCTCCAGTCCTTTATGGCGCTTGCCAGAGAATCATTTTGACTTGGCTCTCGTGAGGGGTTCCAATTATAGGCACAGTGTGGTCTGACTGCTTTTCTGCCAGAACCCTATTACCCCCCTGGTTTGTGTTGTTCTAGTATAAAATGAGAAGTGACGAGGCTGTGGAGAAGATGGACATCACAAGCACTGGATCACGGTCAAAATGGTTTTAAGATAGAGGCTGTATTTCAGAAATTTGGATAAGCCGTATATCCTTTCCAAAAATGTTCTCTCTGCCTAGGTGAATATTATTAAGTTATTGATTTTCCAGGTTCCTAAAACGGTTAGTATTACATTTGTTTGCTTTTTTGTTGTTTTTTTATTGATAGAAGTTGTATTTGGGAGCTTGAACCATTATTTCTTCCCCTAAGAGTAGCTTATTTGTTGTTATTTCTTTTGCAAAAGACAGATTCTTTAGTTTTGCTTTCTCTCAGAAGCATCTTTATTAGTGATAGGACAACTAAATGGAATGTTTATGAAACCTAAAATGAGGATTGACCCGGAAATGACAACTTTCATCCCTGAAATATAAACTATTTCCATACATTTTATTGTCAAAATTAGTAACATTGAATTAACTTTTTTTACAGTAACGTTTTTTGGTTTGGTAGTTTTAGCCTACTTGGTCGAAGACCATTTGGGGCCATTTAGAGCAGCCACCATTAAATCTGAGTAAAACTGAATCGTTCTGAAATGCCTAGGGGAGCTGTGAAATGTCACTTGTGAAGTAATGAGAATATATTGTGAAATTGGCATAGAAAGATCTCCTTCTAACGTGAAATGTTAACTCAGTCGGGAGGGATGTTTTAAAAAATAAAAAAGCTGTTAGAAAGCCTACATTTATCATACCTGCTGCGGTCTAACATTTAAACAGCACAAATGTGTGAGGCTTATTGAAAACAACACTGAAGTCTCTAACAAAATAATTCAGCATTGAACTGAACACGATTCTATCTTAATAGTGAAAAAAATTATAGCGATCAACAAACTGTTTAGTGTTCAAAAATACTTATTTTACTATAGTAAACTACTACTGTTCTTCACTCTGATATTTCCTTTTAAGTTAAATAGAATCTGTTTTGTTAATTTGCATTGTTGGTTGATGGCCATATCATTCATCAGGATTTGGATTGCTTTTCTTCTGCAGGGATGAGTTTAAATGAAAGTCAGCAAATATTGGGAGCAAAATAAAATAAATGACTCACTTTAAATATGTAAATTGTCAGATATGCAAATCAAATCACAAGAACAAACATGGAAAAATAAAACCCAACCCTCATATCCCCAAAAAAAGAAGTGTCACTTTAAAATCTGATCTCTAACAACTAATAAAACCCCAATTTAGGTTGTAAATTTATTATAGGGTTGTGACATTGTAATTTTCTGGTTTTATTTGGAGTACTCAGGGTCACACCACGGAGCTGCCTCTGGCCGAGTGAAAGGAGAGATAATTATCCCTGCCAGCAGGCCTCAAGGGATGCACAAAAAGTCGTCAGAATCTAGTCGGCTAAAACCGCCAAAGGTCTCCGTCTATCCAGATGTTCCAATGTTTTCCCTTGGATTATGCAGGATCATGCATTTCCCAAAGCTGTGTACACAGTCTCGCATTGTATGTACAGCTTTATCAACAGGGTACCGCAAAAGTGCGGGGCTTCGTCCTGGAATGTTACGACAAGACAAAGAGGTTTCCTGGTCAGCCGGCGGTCGGCTTGACAAGACAAACTAGCACCATAAACTCAGCACCACTCCATTCATCTACGCCTCTTTTTTTTTGTGCCCAACTAACCTTGAAGCTGTCAGTGTCCCACAAAGGCCATTTGGAAAAAGCTGAATTGAGACGGCACTTAAAATGCTAATGACGAAACTTTTGTGCGCCCAAAAGTTTCTGATCGTTGACGTGGAGTGACCGGCCGACCATTTCCTGACAGGGAGGGAGCTTTAACTATTCTTGAGGCGGTGTGACATCACCCATATATTTGAATCACCTTCCGATGTGGTCGTGAAATAATCTGATTACAGTCTTGGAGCGGCATCTGGCGCGGTAACACAGAGGTGCCGTTGTAGTAAAACATAAATATCGGCATCTTTTGAACACGCTCCAAAAGACTGCACATCTGGATGGTGCAAGTGACGGCTAATAGATGGGATGCTTCTATAATGACGGGTTGAGAAAGGTGTGTGCATGCGCATCTTGAAAGGAAATGCATGTAGGCATGAGGTGCATGTCTGACCTGTTGAGCTGTCTTAACTGTGGAGGATTTCATTATTGTGGACAGAGGGAAGCGAGGACACTCCCCAGTACTGCAAAGGAATCATACAGGCTCTGTTTTAGATACATGACTTATGCTCTAATATATTGCACAGTGTAAATTTAACATAGATTTAGCTCTTTTGTTTTTCTTAAATGACATATATCTGCAAAATGAGGACATCTCAGTGCATTTGTGCTTTGTTTTCCTTCTCTAAGTCAATCTTAAGATGTTTTTTTAGCACATACAAAAAGATTATCGACCATTTTCAGTGTTTTGCTTTTTGGATGTTGCAATGCCTTAAAAGCCTTTGCAATTTTCAACACTACTTTGATGAAAGCTGAGCCCATCAGAGGGAGCCAGGTTCAAACGTGCGAGCACAGGCTTGCCAAAGAGACCCTCAAGACTTCCTATTCAGACTTTGTCAAAGTAAACATCTGGTCGGCTCGCAAATGACACTTCATTGTTTGGCTGAATTCAGACAAGGTGTACCTGTAGGGCTCTGTGCCTGGGCCTCATTTGTCTATTCTTTGTTAAACATACTTATTTTCATTTTTTTGCACATAGCTATAAAATTCCTGCTTTGAATTCAGCTGTTATCATATCCCATTTTAACCCTTTAAAGCCTGATCCAAGAATAATACATAACAGAAAATTCCTTTTTTGGTTTCAATCACTTATTGGGCCTTTTAACAAAATATGTCAAAAGAAAAAACAGAAATACATTTTTTATATCAATAATTTATTTCTATGCGATAAATCAAGATTATTTTTTGTGTAGTCTTCTGCCCCCTGTTATCAGGTATATCTAATTGAGTACAATAGGTTTTGAGCAAAGTTTTTACCATTAAATGATGCAAAAGGTGTCAGACGCAAAACATTTCAGAAACCGTATGAATCAAATATGATACATTTGGCATTATAGGGTGAATATAAAAAGAGTTGTTGAGGTTTTATTCTGTAATATTGAATCAATATGCACTTTAAATCTGGTATTTGACTTGGTATGTTATTTTGCATTATTACATTGTACTCCTTTACATTCATCCCTCATAACACTGTAAACATTTTGTATCTTTTTGTGTTTTTCAGATCATGGTTTGACTTCTATTTATTGTGTACTGTACATAATGTAATAGTATATGTTAAACAGTACAGTCCACTCACTGCTTTTTGGGGATGAATACATCCCCAGAAATATTTGCCTCGCTGTTGCCGGTATGACATGCATACTGGAATGTATATTTATCGCCATCCTGTTTCAGCTTGACTTGCTTCTCTGTTCTGATTCAGCTGGTTCTTAAACCTCAGACGGCGCACAGATGATCTGGGTGGGTGTTTATGGTCGTACAGCGGAGAGCGGAATCTCTTGTTTAACTAAACATTGCATATGTTGAAGCCATCAACAGAGCTAAGTGGGGACCCCATTGATCTAGGACACTCCCAGCACCGGGGAGGCTTTGAACTGAGCAATAGAGCTCACGCATTTGTCACCGGGTGGTAAAACAAAGCAATTCTTCAAAGCTGAAAAACACACATCGCAAACTGTACAAAAATACTAATTTCTGTGATTTTTGTCGAAGAACGAGACAATGTTGTTTTGGACCAAAGCATATGGGCTCTATAATAACACTTATGCTTATTCAACAAAATCAACCCATGACGGAATTGATGCGTACGCGTTTGGTGTTTTTCTTTTTATTTTCCCTAAGCACGTACAGTTATTATGCAGTGACCTCTCCCGAGTCACCCAGGGTGATGGAGGAGTGTGAGGAGATATGCTGGAGGCCCTCGAGCGCTGACATTTAGCAGATGTCACACCAGTCGAAAGAGTTTAGCTTTTATTTAGCATCCTCAGGAATGCCGCGCACAGACGTCCGACTGTTCCCCCGGTCAGTAGCGCCAGATAAGATTTAAAGTTCTTAGAGTCGGAGAATCTTTTCACACTGCTGGAATTGGGATAATGCAATGAGGTAGTAAAATAGTGCACAAGCTAAATCAGTCCTCGAGACGTAGGGCTGCATCGGTTCCACTGTGCCCTCATGTCTTGTCAGTGAGTTGAAGCTATGGCTAAGCCCAAATCACGGATTTTTTTGGCTAATTTGTTTTGGGATGATATTTAGACTTAAGAACGTAGTTCCGTGTAAAGCAGTTGCGTTATCTACATTTTTATATATGACATAATTTACAAAAGGTTGTAAGTTACAGTAGCAGTTCTTACATTACATTACAGTTCTGTTAGAGTCATTCATAGTATATTATTGTATGTACTGTCAAAATTCAGCCTCCCATTTCCCGGTCTAACATCACAGCCTGTTATGCTGCCCGTCCCCTCTAACCTTCACCACGTCTTTCCAAATCCTGCCCTGACATCTTCCTTCTCTTCCTTAGAGGACAACGGAGTTTCCCTTTTACAACTGATCGGGGACCCCCCTCCAGACGAGATCGCTCGCGTCTACGGACCGGACAACGCTCCCGGTTACGTCTTCGGCCCCGATGCCAACACGGGCCAGCTGGCCCGCGCTCACTTCCCCAGCCCCTTCCACCGAAACTTTGCCCTCGTCTTCCACCTGAAGCCCACCTCGGACCGGGGCGGCGTCGTCTTCTCCATCACGGACGCCGCCCAACGGATCATGTATGTGGGGGTCAAGCTGTCGGCCGTGGTGGGATCCAAGCAGGACGTGGTCTTGTACTACACGGAGCCCGACTCGCAGAACTCCTACGAGGCGGCCAGGTTCCGCGTGCCCGCCATGAGGGACACCTGGACCCGCTTCGCAGTCGCCGTGAGGGACGACAAGGTGATGCTCTATCTCAACTGCGATACGGACCCTCAAATGATGCGCATCGAGAGGTCCCCGGACGATATGGAGCTGGAGATGGGCGCCGGGGTCTTCGTGGGCCAAGCTGGAGGAGCCGACCCGGAGAAGTTCTTGGTATGTATACGGGCTTTATCTGCTCTCAGCCAAACATCATGTAATTAATTTTGGAAGTCCTCATTATGTCTAAAACCTTGATGGACTGAGAAAATCATGTGTTGTGTAGAAAGAGCTTCAATTGCTTACAGGCAGGCCGGACTTTGATCAAGACAGAACTCCCACTGTGTGAAATTTTGGCAAAGTGCAGTTAAATATTTTCATTTTCTATCTCCATAGTGATCATGTGAAACACTTTAGGCGAATGACTCTCATGTGATGCATTCGGACTCCAGGTCTTAAAATACGTGCGCGTGCCGTTATCACTGCGCCTACTTCTTTGGAGACCTGAAAATTCTAGCAGTAGCTTTGTAATTAACTTCAACTGCAGACCGGGTGAACTGTTGGACCTCTAACGGTTAAGGGCTGCAGTAGTTCACCCACAGCTAACAGAGAACATCAAACTTGGGATTTCAGTTTCTGTAGTAAGCAGATTATTTGTCTCTTATCAGGAAAATTAAGAAGTAAAATCAGCATTTTGTGTTGGTCCCAGTAGAAACCTCTTGAAATCTAAAGCTGTTGTTTCAATTAATGTACAGTAAAGTCTATAGACACCCCCCTTACCTCAATGGAATATTACTTTCTTGCTAATCTGGTCTTAAAAGTCAATTGTTTTTCAGGCTTTCCAAATGTTTCTTAAATTATTCCTTAGGACACTGGCCGCTTCTCTTTAAGGTCCTGAGATATGCATCTGGGTCTTTTGTTGATACATCCTCTTTTGGTACAAGCCTCATTAGAAAGGTTCTCCATAAATGTTGGGTTGTCCAGTGGCCTTATGACACAAGATCCAGACTGTCAATCATCACATTTTCGTTTAACGTTTCCTCATTTCAACCTCGAAATATTTCCCATTCTTACAGCATTATGAAACAGAAATGTGGATGGCAATAGACCTTTGCTCTTTATAACCAAGAAAGAAGAGATCTATCAGTTTCCTCTTAGTGGAGTTTTTTTTTCAAACTGGAGTCTTGCTATTGTTGTAGATTTGTGTTTTACGAGAAAAACAGGAAATAAACAATTGTCAGCAAAAGATTTTGTTCCTAGTGTTAGCAAGTTTATATTTTATTCTTGGAATTGTTATGAAGCATTGAGAGTATAGAACACATTCACTCTCACCAAACATGGCATCAGAATGTTGGGCCAAGACAGATAAACCATGACCACCTAATAGGCTGGCTCACACTAGAGCTCCACTTTCTTTGCTTTCACCAAAACAGACCACTATTATGTGATTGGAACCGTGAAACTTTTTCTCCTAATTCAACTAATCACATGCAGATGTTTTTATCCGAAAAGAGCCGTTCTCAAAGGCGTAATGATGTGAATGTTGGGGGATAATTTAAACCTAAGTTAATTTTAAATTATCACTTTTCAAATCACACGAGAACTTAAAGTTTTTGTTAACTTTTGTAATCTTGTTTTTGTCAAGCTGATACATCATCCTCTTTGCCTCTCAGCCGTGGCATTAATTACAGTGCTTGAATAAAACTGTTTATTTTGGAGTGATTTTGGTGGGACAATATACAAGAGAATATTTTTGTGTGTCTTACAAAGAGAGAGAGCAACCAAACCTTTCCAAGTCTTAGTTTCATAGTTAAGGACTTGTTTGTTGATCCGGCAGTTACCTTAAACTCCCATGGTCCTATGAATTGAATTTTCCTTATTAAATAAAGACCTGGCCAGCTTCTTTTAAGCAATTAAGTTTTTCGTAATATGTATTCATAAAAATGGACATTCCGTTCCAAAACCACGGCATGCCACGGTGAAAGTTCAGACCCTCAAATGAAAAGAATCCAAGATTTATCATGAGGATCTAAAACACTTTGATAAAAGAAAAGACTTTGGTCTCCTCGACACTGGACAAAAACAGCCCGTGCAACTTGAATTCAGCCATTAAAAGTCTGCACATAGACAGGGTTAAAAATGTCACGGAGTTATTTATCTTCAAAGTCCTCTTAAAAACTCCATTAAACTTTTTGCTCGGGACATAAATGTAGGCTCGACTTCAAATAAGGCCCCAACAGAGACCACCTCCACATTCAGAGCTAATGGCCCTTTGACAGGCAGGAAGAGACCAGTCGTGCTATCTGTAGGAGGATCCTGTGTGGGAGCATGTAACAGATTTAAGTGTTTGAGGCAGAGATAGTGACACTTCGCAAGATCTAAAACAAGAGACATCAATAGGCCCACTGATTAAACAGAGAGGGGGGGATTTCCTGGGAATACCAGAAAAAACTCATAACAGCAAGTTCAGAGACAAACAACCGCATTTATACGTTGGCGTTATTAACACATCCTGGGAGTGAGAACAAGTGCCGTTCAGACATGATCATTTGAGAGGTGGAACATTAAAAAAAAACCTCCTGATGCCATGTTTCCCAACAGGGCGTGATCGCTGAGCTGAGGGTGGTGGGAGACCCCGGCGCAGCTGAGAGGCAATGCGAGGAGGATGAAGATGACTCGGATATGGTGAGTAATATTTGGTGTTACACCAAAATTCAATTTGGAAAGGACAGAAATATAACCGTGTCTGAAATTAGACCCGTTGTTTTAAAAACCAGTGACACGAGAGCAAAAGGGTCAATTATAAAACTGCTGCTATACCCAGATGGAAGCTTTTGATGCTTCAAGTAACGAATAGCATACAGTGCCTGAAAGGAAGTTTGTCTTTGCCTGTGTCGCCTAGTGCTTGCTCATGGTGGGAATTGTTGGGTTTCTGTAATTAACTTCAGAGTAGGGTCTGACCTGCTCTGTTTGGAAAGCGCTGTGAGACAACTGTTGTTGTGATGTAGCCCTATATAAATACAATTGAATTTAATTGAATTGAATTGAATAACTGGTTTATGTTAGTTTGTTATATGAGATCATGGAAATCCTCGTTTCACTTAGATCACATCAGTGAAGTTTGCTAACGCAGCCTGTAATTCGTTGAGCTCTATGGTTTGTTTCCACATTCCAACTCACACTATATTTGTCTTTTTATTTATTTTTTTGGCTCAGAGAAAAAAAATCATGAAAACAAAAATGAACATACAATAAACATGATGGTCAGTTCAGAAAGCTCAAAATGATTTGTCCTTAACAATATCCATACTTCTTCTCAGTTAATGAAGGAAGGCACTACTAATCAGAGATGATTGAGACAAGTCTGTTTGGCACCTGCTGCAAACGCCGTGTTAAGACGCAGCCTTAAAGAGTAACGACAATGTGGACGTAGCACTGAAATTCATGCAGAGTCAGCTTGGGGCTTAATTTAACCGTCAGAATGTTACACTTTCTCAAAAACCTGCAATGCAATGAAAAGCCGACCTGCAAAGCTGTAGAAAGACAAAGTGGAAGGTTTTGACAAAGGACGAAGTAATTTGTTCTTTTCAGAATTAGAATCAGAATCAGAAATACTTTAATAATCCCAGAGGGAAATTATTTTTGTTAGTAGCTCCATAAATAAAACAGCGGTATTTACATATATACATGTATATATTTTTCATGGTCACTGACTGATCTTGACGATCTACAGTTTGTGTTTGTATGCACAAGTATATTTTTGTGTTATTTGTCAATGCATGCACACCTTTAAATATGTCACATCATCACTTGATAAGAATGGAGGATATTTTGCCCATGAGAAGACTTAGACTTAGACTTAGACTTCCTTTATTGTCATTGCACAAAAAACACAAGGTGAATCTTGACAACGAAATCTTGATTACTTGGCTACCAGTGTAACAGAGCTAAGACCTTATTCCTACACAATAAATATGTTTTTCTATAACTAAGCGCTAAGAGCTAGCTATATACACAAATGAATTGTGCCTAAATGATAGGCTGGTACGGCCAGTTTATCAATTTCCAACTACATATTGATACCGTCTTGTTATTATTGTGAAGTTTTTCATTCACTTTTCACTCAATGAGTCATACTCATGCTCAGTTTGCATTATAATGAATGTCTGGAAACTGAAACAGTAAACTAATAGACGGGTAAGCTAATGAAACAGATCTGTTTCCAGGTTTAAAACAGATAGAGTAAATGAATGATTGGACATGCAACTCCTATAATACAGTTCTCAACTGACACAATCAATGTTGTTTTCCTGGGTCTATAAGTTCACTTAGCAGAAAATAGTAAATCTGTAACTGAAAAGAGTCAGAAAGCCATTTTTTTCTTTTTTTACTGCTGACCCTGACCACCCACATATAAACACAGGTGCCTGACTGTGGCCCACCATCAGACCTTAACTGTTATTTAGTGAAACATTCACAGCTGCTCGGCTCGCTCGGACCACCAAAACCAAGCCCCGACCGACAGAGTATGAGGCCGCTTGTTGTTGTCTAACATTTTTACACGTTTTTCAGGAGTACATCACAGGTTTCTCGTTTCAGGAGGTGCCTTTTATCTCAAATGATAACCTAACAGCTGTTATCCAGTTTAACTCTAATGATACAGCGCTAGTGGACCCAAACGACATGAATTTGGAAGGAATTTACTGTGTGGGATCAAACATGTAAGCAATGCTGACAATTACATAGAAACAGATAAAAGATTCAAGATGTAAACGGTATATTTCACTAACAACTTTGGCAGGTAGATGGCATATGAGTAGATAAGCAGTAAGAAAGATTATGAAGATTTCCCACTAACATTTCTGAATGATTTTATGGCTTATGTGGATGTAATGGTAACATTTTTGAAGGATTCTAGGAGGAGTTTCTTTCAGGTTTTTGAAATTTTCACATGAAAATTAAATCAAAAGTCAACTTCTGGGTGCTGTACACAAAATAAATAATCATGTGTTTGATTTCTGCAGGCTTCGGGAGAAGGAAGTGGCTTCAGAGAAACCAGGCCTGCAAAACCCAACACAGAAATACACAGATCCACGGTATGGGAGAACATCTGTTTGTTCCTGTTCTTTTTTTTTTTTAAAACAACCGTTTTTGCAGGTTTATCTCTGTCCTGAGCAATTCTCTTAATCATGGTTTATAGATGCTCTTGTTCACTTTGTCATAAGTTGAAAAAAAATGAAAAAACACCTACTTGCTGAATGAAAATTTAAAACAAATCCTCAATTCATGGGGGTGTCCCGGTTCTCCATCATTAACAGAAGAATGCCCTGTGTGAGATGTTCTGCTGATGTCTCACGTTACCTTTTTTTTTTTCTTTTTCATTCCTCGCAGAAGATTAAAAACTGCTGAGTTGAGGTCTGGAAATTGAGCTACATCTGTCTTACACATTTGAGACTTTTTATGTTAAGGTCTTCCTCCTGGTGGACTGGAAAGGGGGG